TCCCACCGGTTTTACTACTGGTTCTATAGAACTGGTGCGAACCGGGGGCAACCCACCACTGGTCTCCATGGTCATGTGGCCGGCATGACTAAACACCAAAGGCACACAGAACGCTGTTACCTTCCTACCAAAGGTGGTCCCTATTTTTCTACTTGCATTTTTTACGTGCTTTCGAACTGCTAGGTTGGCAGAAGCTGGGACAAGTAACAGGAGCTCACCCAGTTACACGGCACTAGGGATTCGAACTGCTGACCTTTTGATTGAGAAGCTCAGCGTCTTAGCCACTGAGCCACCGCGCTGCTGAAAAGCCCACTAAAATGGCAGGGGTGAAAGAGGAGAAGGATCTGTTTATTTAGCCCAAGGACTAGTTCATTTTTGTGAATTGCAGTTTTGCTACATTGGAATATTTGATTTAAAAACAACACAGAGCTGCAATCACTGTACAATATACTGATTGAAGGCAATTAAATGGGTTACAAGACGATGGTTTGATTTAAAACTTGACTGCAGTAAAGAAGATAGGGGGAAACAAGAGGAAACTTTAAGATGGAGAGGCTGAGAAATATGAGAGAAAAAAACCCAGTGAATATATCCATGACACCACTTTATCTCTGTTCAATGTATTGAGCCAATGTATTATTAGTTCAGTTGTGGTATATTTAAAACCACTGCAAAGGTGGTTCATTTTTGGAAATGCTACTCTTTCCCTCGCTCCCATTTGAAGAATTCTTGCCTCATCCTGCCTTTCAGTTCTTGGATTATACCTGTACCATTAGGTCTTTCAAGGGAAAGGTGGTTTAATTGCTTTTCAGCTTCCCCTTAATAGAAGTTACTTCATCATGATGATAATGGTGAAGATGAATTTTTGGCAGACAGCTAGAAAAATGCAACAGGAAGTATGGATTAGTGAGGGAGGAAAAGTGATTTATTTTGCCTCCATTTCTCATTGACTGAGCCTGGGAGTTCGTTTTGCAGAACCTGGCCAAATCACTCGTTTTCACTTCTGGTTCTAAGCATTTCTCTTGACTAAAATTAAGACATTTGGGGGTTGTCTTCAAAAAGCGTTTGAAGGATGGGAAGCCATAAAAAGTGATAACTGGGCCTACTATTAACTACTCTATATATTGCTAACCAGCAAAGACTGCCAAGAGAATAGCATCCCCAGAATGGCTAAGGTGTGGGGAAGATAAACCCCAGTGCCATTATGTCTACCTTAAGTCCCACTTGTTTTAAAGAGTAGGGGAAGCAATTTCTATTTTCAAAAAAAGGAAGGGTAAAAAATATTTTTTTCAGACTTGGTTAGTGGAATATATTTACCCTAATGTTCAAAAAGGCATTTTTGGATGTAAAACTAATTTTGTGACTGCAGCAGCTACTGCCAAGCATATACTTCAATAATTGGTTTAATATTTGAATGACCTCAGCTCTAATCTGAATGGATCTCCAGAAGTGGATTTTTCATGCAGACTTTAGGAAGAAAAAAAAATACCCTTCTTCCTCACCAGTAGTGGGTTTCAAAACCGAGTGCTACCTGTTCACTATTGGTAGCGTGTGAGTGTGCGGTGCTTCTGCGCATGCACAGATCATTTTTGATGACATCTGGGTGGGTGGGCGGAGCCTCCCACCACCGCCACTACCGGTTTGCCCGAACCAGGGCGAACCGGGAGCAACCCACCACTGCTCCTCACCCCATCTCTGTTTGCTTAGACTTCTTTGGTCAATTGTTTAGTACAGACTTCCTCATCCTGTGTGTGTGAGGGTTGCAACTTCCAGAATTCCCCATGGCTGGAAGTATTAGGAAGCCCAGTCTTTAGACCCTTTGGAAAGTGTCAGGTTGAGATCAGAGCATTTTGAGGCCCCTGGGAAGGCCAAACAGAAAAGCAAGAACAGAAACCAAATTGACTAATAGCAACTGTTCCCATCACTGCATTTGTTGGGATAAAAGAAATAAATTGACATCTTGTGTAGATTTGATACCTGATCTGTTCTCCACCCAGAGAAGTCTCTCTGAAAGGATGGCCTTTCTGATCTTTGCCTTCTCTAGCGATAGCCCTTCAGCTAATGTGGACTTCAGGTCTTTGAAGACCAGAGAGTGACCAGATCAGAGAGAGGACAGAAATTGGTGAACTTTCTTGCATATGCCAGGCTATAATTACAGGAAGCTTTAAAAAAAAGTCCTATAAAGTGCAAAAGGAGCATGATATAGAATAAAATAATAAGCATTGTATGAGCTGGGAATGGATTTCGCATGTTATAGCCTAGGAAGTGCCCACGCAGTTCACCATCATTCCCAGTGAAGTTCTTTTCAGACCTATTGGAATCCATCTTCCATAATGTTAATGCTGACTTGAAAGATGGGCAATGTAGTCCAATATCTCTCAAGACCACAATATTGCTCTTGAAGGAGACCATTCTCTTGGAGGAGAATGTAACCAGCTTCTGAACAAAATGAGTAGGATTTCATTTGCCCTGATTTCATTTGCCCTTCATCTTGGCTCTTTTAGTCGTTCATTACAGCTCAGTGTTAAAGAATATCAAGCTAACCACTATAAAATATAAAGACACAACAGATTTATGGCAACATTAGGTTTGGTGAAGTGTAGAAGAATCCATTTCATCAGATATGTGGAATGTTATCCTTTAGTGGAAGATTTATGTAGGCAGAGTTCACACACTGAGCTATGATTTATTAAAGTGTAGCTTATTCAATTTATGTCTTAATATTATGGGTAAAATCTGTCACTTGTGAAGAATAACATTTTTTTTACACTAATCCAGTTCCAACATAATTATTATTAATTATCATCACCGTCAAATGCATTTTTATACCAATATCTCTCTGAGAGTTCAAGATGGCTCCGGTGGAGGAGTCTTAACTAATTTTATTCCCACAAGAAAACTGAGATTGATTGGTTGAACTCCACTTGATGTTCAGTTTCCCTAGTTCAGGTCCAACATCATAAACACTACACTATAGCTCAGCCCTCAGTCCATTACAGAACACCCAAACATACATATAGTACAGTTGCTCTCAAAATTGTTACAGAATAACAGTACAAGAAAACAATCAAGAATTTCAATTGAGTAATAAAAGCATCCAGAAATAGTAAGATCAATTTTAGACATCAGAAACCTAGGACTGAGAGAGAGAGATAAAAAAAATCTCCTGATGCCATAAAAATGTCCTAAATACCAAATAAGCAGTGAAACACACAGGGAAAAGCTGTTTTTCTGATGTCTGTTCTTTTATCTTCAGGAACAGGGAAGTAAGAGCATTGTAGATGGGCTTTTGAGATTAATAGTTGCTCAAACTAGTGGGGGAAATGCTTCATCTGACTATCTAGAGAAGACAGTGTCCAGCCCACTATGGCCACATACTAGGAACTGGAGATTGGTCACTGATAGACATCCCCCTCCAACTTAAGTATTATAAATCAGTAGCAGCACATATACTGTGTTTCCTCCAAAATAAGACTGAGCCTTATATTAATTCCTGCTGCAAAAGATGCATTATGGCTTATTTCCGGTTAGGTCTTATTTTGGGGGAAATACAGTAACCCTCCATCTGCTGATGATCTTAACTGGAGCTTATTTTGGGGGTAGAGGTTATATTAGGAGCATCCTGAAAAATCAAACTGGGTCTTATTTTCGGTGAAACAGGGTACTTAGAATGCAAATGGTTCTGGTTTCAGTTCTTGGAATTGCTCTCTGGTATTCTAGAAAGCTGTTATCAGTCTGTGTACAGACCAACTTTCTGAATTGTTTTCTATTAATCACATTTAATGGTGGGAATTTATTTATTTATTAAATTTATTTGCTGTCCATTTCCCCACTAAGATGACTCTGGATAGTTCACAGATCATAAAAAGATAAATAGAAAAAAGGTGAAAATTTAAAACTCTGCAGAAAACAGAAACTGGGAAGGCTTTCATTAGAGACACCCAGATTATGGGAGCTGTACTCCTTCATATATTACTGAGCCCCCAGGATCCTTCCTCTTGACTGTACTGGCTGGGACCACTAGGGCTTGTAGTTTGCCAAAATCTGGAAGTGATAGATTCCTTGTGATACACCAATAGATTCTTATTGTCTTTAGTTGCTAGTTGGCAGTGCACATTAAAATGAAGTTAGCATTATGCAAACCACATAACCAGAAAAATCCATTAGAATCCTCACTGGGACTTTCCAATTTGGATTCAAAGCAAATATAATTAGTTCATCATTTGGTCTTAGTCCTGTTTCATACTTAAATGCATGCGTGTTTCTGTCACTCTCCAGATTAAACTTTTTCCAAGTATCATCCATCAACTTTTTCTAGTTTAGTGCTTTCCATAACTGTCTCTAAGTTTCCACCCAAATTCCTAGTTGTTGGTGTTGGAAAGAACACAGTTCTGACACAGTTGGAGATATTACTTTGAGAAAGGTTGCCGTCTGCAATAACCAGGATCTATATGTTGAATTTCAGTAATGTGTAAATGATTAACTACCCACCCAACTTGTCCTATGTGAAGTTTCAACCACAATTGCAAAACACACTAGAGTTAATTGTGAGGGATATGCTTTTGTTCATCGCTATTCAGGGCCCCTCATCATAAGCCTTCAGGCTTTAGCAGGATCAGTTGACAGAATGAAGGCTAAGCCAAGGCAGATACATTGTGTAGCTGCATCTAACTGGTGAAGCCTATACCCCCTTCCTGTGTGATTTGTGCTGGCTGGGCTGGATCCTATTCCTGAAACCAGAGCAGATTAGAAGAGAAGTCAAGGGGGTGGTGGTGGAAACCTTATATAACAAAGCAGAAAAAGATATATTGGTTTGGTCATAGTCACCAGCAGCTTTGATTAGAAAAGGCAGATGTGCTTTTGATCTTGTTTGTTCAGTGACCTCTCTGGTCTGATAAAAATCTTTTTCTTCCTGCTGCCAATCAAACCTCATACAGTAGGGAGATCCAGTCTCCCTGCCAAGAAGAAGATTGTTACCAAACAAGAATCTTTGTGGACTACATAGTTGATTTAGGATGTTTATAGATTCAGCACAGACATTAAACAAAATAAAACAGAGGGATGTTGGATGGCACAAGGAAGAATTCTTCTGTCTTTACCACATTATTCCATTTTGAATATGAAGATGCCAGGAACCACAGCAAAATAACCTACAGGTCTTGTTCCAAAATTGGGGAGGATACTAGTTGGTTCTTGAATGTCCTTTCAAGTTTGGGGACTGGGGAGAAGAGAGAGAATCAGTTAAAGTAAGGTAGCTTGGAAGGAAATTTTAGATCACCTTATGATAGAAATAAATGGGAGAGGTTATTTCCCTCTCATTGCTATCCTCTCCCTTTCAGATGTACATAAAAAATAAAGTCAGTTTTCTAGGAGAATGTTTATCGAGATTCTCAGTCATCCAGGTCATGGTTGTCCCAAAGGTGCTTTTTTCAAGAGGCAATTGGGCTTTCTGCTTTTTCTTTGAAGACATTTCACTTCTCATCCAAGAAGCTTCTTCAGCTCTCATTTAATATTTCTAGGAGAATATTAAAAGGAAAAAGACAAATGTGTGAATGGACTATAGACAGTCCATCTACACTGCAACAGAAGTGAGCGACTTCAGCATATCACTTGATTCACCATGCTAGTTGGGGTTCTTAATTGTTCTTCAGCAGCATCTGGAAGGTAAATTCCCCATGCCTATAAAAATTCTCCATCCCTGTAAATGTATTGATTGGAATTATTATTATTATTAAAAAGACATGCCTTGTTTATGTTTATATATGGAATACATCACAAATGGGATTATCAAATTTGTACACCGCCTAAAGTCCTTTTGTAAGATAGATGGGTGAGAAAGAAAGAAAAGAAAAGAAGGAAGGAAGGAAGGAAGGAAGGAAAGAGAAAGAAAAAGAAAGAAAGAAAGAAAGAAAGAAAGAAAGAAAGAAAGAAAGAAAGAAAGAAAGAAAGAAGGAAGGAAAAAATTGTGTACAGACTAACTTTAGCATTTAAGGTGGAAATGTTTTAAAAGTTGCACATTTAAAAATAATAGGTTATCAATACTTATGAAGTAGCTCTATGTATCTATTGGGAGATAAGAAAAGCACATTTAATGTTTCATTTCCTCCACAAAAAAGTTCATAGTGTTTTGTTTTATTTTTCCATCTATGGCAATGTGGTTAGATTAGATTGCCTTCAACTGTCTTCCTTGGGAGATTTCTCAACTTGTTATAGATGCAGTTACCTCAGATGGATTATGTACAATGATTACAGTTTTTTCTTTAATGAGATTAAATTAAAGGTGGCTGGAAAAAGGTAATTGTTTTTCACAATACAAAAGGCCGTTCCTATGGGGTCTGAACTAATATGCTCCATTTCCTTGAATTTAAGGTCAGCATTCACCTTAAAAAAGATAAGCTTGAGATCCTGATCACAGAGCTTCAATTCAAATGGAGCCTTTTGAGATTTGACAATTGCCAGCTTCTCTTTTGGATTTTTTAAAAAAATAACATATAATTTAATTTTGGAATTTGTTACCATTGGATGTGGTGCTGGCTATCTGCTTGGTTGGCTTCAAAAAAGGGGTTGGACCAATTCTATTAGCCTTAAGGACAGTGTGACTAACTCTCATGCCATCTGCTGGGAGACTAAAGATTTCCTTCTGCAATTGGTTGGCCACTGTGAGAACAGACTGCTGGATTAGATAGGTCAGGAGTCCAATCCAGCAGGGGCACTGTTTATGTTCTTATCCCTGGCAGTTCACTTGAGAACCTCTTCTAGCAATTGTTGTGCAGCTATGTAGTGACATTAATACAACTGCAAAGAATTGAGGAACAATAAGCAATGGGGAAGGGGGAGCTATATTTCGGGAAATATTGTTTTGGCCTCTGAGGGTTGCAGGAGGCATATCTTGAGTCCTTCGTTTCCTCTTTTTAACTATGCTATTCCCTCCAACAGAATTGCAATTTAGGCCCTTTCCATATTTTAGCATCATTGGACACAATAAAGCAAAAAAATTAGTTTGTTTGGATGGGGTTTAGAGAGAATTAAGAGCCTTAAACTTTGATATCTATTTTGTTTCATAACCCCCTAACCTGCCAGCCTGTGAATAAATCATAATTAAAAATCAATTATAGCGTACAGAGAGTATAGAGTACAGACTCATGCTGAAACTTTTAATTTTAAAAGAAGCATGCTCACCAGTCGACACTCTAATCACTGGCACCATGGAGAGAGAGCAAGTGACAAAACATCTGTCATGACATCACAATGCAGATCCCAGGAGTTACATATATGTAGCCAATCTGAGAACATAAAACATGATCATAAGAACATAAAAACCCAAAAGGGCGAATTCTTCATCATGACATTATGATGCAGATTTGTCATTATTTGGCAATGCAAAAATGCCAAATTAGTAGAAGATGCCTCTGATTTTAAAGGGACCAATTGCTTTTTATTTAGTCTCTTACCTCTTTGCCAACTATCCATTTATGACAGCTAGCTGAATCTTTTCTCCTGGATCATGTTTATCCAAAATGTCACATCTGTTTTCCTAAAGGTCATATCTGGTTCTTCCAGTATCACTGTTCTCTGGAGGGCAGCATGTAACTTATCAACAACCTATGGATTCCTACTTTCTGACTTCCCTTTTAGTGCATTTATTCATAATTAAAATAAAATGGAAATATAAATTTAAATTAAATTAAATTAATAAAAAGGGGGATTCTGACTTTCTTTTTACTGCTTTCATTCGTAATTAAACTTACGCATTCACCTCCGTGCTTATATTCACCAATTCTACTCAGTAAGATCAGGTGGCTTTCCACTTTGACTGAGATCTGTTACATCCTTTTTCTTTTTTTCATAGTTCCATGGACATCAAAACGACTTTTGGTGTTTTCATTTCATTTGTTAACTCATGTATTTTTTTTAATCATTTACTCCTCCTACATCTATACCATGGTTGTCATTACATAGATCCATAGATAGTAATCTGTGTCACTGAAACCATATAAATCTTATATCTGCAATAAAAACTGAGATAATATAAATATCCATCCAAGAAACAGATGTCATGCCTCAAACGCCCTTCTGAATAGTGCAATTCTCAAAGCTTCTCAAAACTCAGTCATAGTGTTCGGGGCTGGGTGGGAGGCAGGTCCAAAGGGAGGGTGCTGTCACAGGAACACTCTTCCCCCCCCCAAATCTCTTTTGGAGAGGCCACGTGCAGCATGGTCCCCTGAAGATGAGCACATCTAATGGATAGGATTGTTTTGAGGGAGATGGTCCTTTATATGCGAATGAAGGCAAATATACGTGTCCCAGGATAATGTTGCATGATCCAGTCTGAATCGGTCACCGGGACCAGAGGTTTAGTCTTCTGAGCTTTCAGACTCGTGCTGGAGCTCATCCTCAGGGAATTTTTCAATCTCCAGGAGGTATCCTTTACATACCTAAAAGTTAAGCCTCGTAGAGGTTTGTAGGTCAATATCAGAACTTTGAATTGTACCAAAAGGCTGCTCAGCAGCCAACATAATTCTGCCAGCACGGCATCTCCTTGTTTAACTCTTTATATCTCTTATATTTGGAAAAAAAGCAAACACTCATAAAACAAATGATGTAATTTGGAATAGTTCACCAATTATTGCTAAAAGATGGATAGATTGCCTTTGGACTAAACCAGACAACAAAGATAAAAGAAATGTCTATATAAGCTGGATTCAGGGAAAGCTGCAAAGATGGCTCTGAGAAACAGCTTTTCCTTTAGGAACAGTGTTTCTCAACCTTAGCTACTTTAAAATGTATGGATGTCAGATCCCAAAGTTCCCCAGTTCAACATGCTTTAGAAGGCAAGACCCTTCCACAGCTTTCCATATCTTGAGATCAGAAACATATGTCAGGAATATGCCACTCACCTGAGAATCTCATCAAATGGAAATGCTTGCATTGTATTGATTACATTCTTTAACTCCAAGGTGACCAGGGCGGTGAAGATGGTAGAATTCCAGGTGAGCTGAAGATAGCTTTCCACATCCTAGTTTGATTTCGGCATATCTGATTTAGTTGAGGATTCCTCTCACACACAAAGTTATTTCCTGCAACAATCCATTGGGATAAAACAGAGCTTCAGGGCACAGTTTTGAAGAGAAAACAGAGCATTGCAGGCTCTGGTTCAGATTTCAGGCTCCCCCCCCCCATCCCTCCTTCTGTTACAGAGCAAAAATAAAACAATCAAGAATTTAAACCAGTCATGTCTGGTCTGCTCAAAGAGATGTGTGTGTCTGCTTCTAAATGTTTACAAATCACGCAATGTATTGAAACCTCTGGATAACAGGTACATGTATGTTTGCATAACCCAAACCCCGTTGTCACTTGTGTCAAAAGATTTCCACCAGTTTTGCAGCTGTTATTTGAATTTCTTTGTTTGTATTATTTATTTAAATGATTTACAAAGTCAGGCATCTCATAGCAGTGACTTTCAGCCCAAATGGCTTGAGGACAGCTAAGGCTAAGGACCATCTGGATATCTGGGGCTATGGGTTTCTACAGGATAGATGCAGCCACAGAGAAGGCCTGACTGGGAAGTCCAGCACAATGGCATTGGTTGATGGAAGGGAACCTGAATATACTCCACCCTCCTTACACTCAGAAGAACCATGTTAGCTTGTTGTCCCAAAGATAACACAAAACACCTCTACGTGAAGACTCTAAGGCAGCTGAAAAGCAGCTTTGGATCTCTGAAATTCCCCAACAATTTCCATGCTGGAGCTGGTTTCTTTCTGGCCCATCTGCATGCTTATTTGTATTTGTAAGGAAGTCAGGCTGGTTTTTTTATGAAATGTCAGATGTTCTACTATGCTTCATCTCATCCCTGGGTTCAGATGCTCTAGCACAGGGGTGTCAAACTCAAGGCCCGCAGGCCGGATCTGGCCCAGGGGCTGCTTAGATCTGGCCCACGGGGCCGCCCTGAAAACAGCAAAGGACCAGCCCGTGGTGCCTCTGCCAGTGAAAATGGAACTCAGGAGGGCCACATGTGGAGCTCCATTTTAGATGGCAGAGAGCTGCAGGAGGCCGTTGTGCCGAAAATGGATATCGAGTTGGCCATGCCCACCCTGGCCACACTCACCCCAGTCTCCCGTGGTCAAACACAACCCTGATGCGGCCCTCAATGAAATCGAGTTTTACACCCCTGCTTTAGCAGATTCTTCAAGGGAAAAGGTGGCTTGAAGGTTTTTCAGATCCCACGCATAGGGAAGGCTGTGAGGTGAATGTGACTAGAATAGTTCCCCTTTCTCTTCAGTGGAGACCAGTTGGCTGCAATGACTGGGCTTTTTTGTGTGTGTGTGGGGGGGGGAGGAATTGTCTCTGAAATGGTTGTGGGTTCTGTAGAGTAGAATGGCAAGGATGTTGCTGCTGGAGAATTTGTGGCAGTAATTTCCACTCTTTATTTTCATTATTTTAAGACCAATTGCTCAGAGGATTGTGATAAACCAAATTTAAACCAATTTGGCGAGCTTGGAGATTGAGAATAATGGTGAGATAGAAATCTCCAGAGGGTCCTAGGGTTCTTTAAAAAGTATCTTTTGACATAGGGAGAAGAGCCTTTTCCACTCTGGTGCCCGTTCTTTGGAACATCCTCCCTCCCCTCCAAGGTGAAATGTGCATCTTTCCTTCTTGCCTTCTGAAATGGCTTGAAGACAGCTCTGCCAGTTGGCCCATGGCCTCAATGGGGCATGGTGTCAGGGTTCCAAATAACACCCCCAATGAAAGAAGACTCTGAGACTTGAAGTTCCTCAAAGTTCCACTTTATTAGAGATGTCATATTGGCACATCTGTGAAAACCCGAATCTGAAAGTTTCCAGGTTTTCCCCACCCAAAAGAAATTTCAAGTCCCTGTCCAGCACCCACATGTCTCGATACAATCCTCCCTCCCATTTTCCCACAATAGAAAATGTGGCAGGCCTGAAGGCCCAACTGTAAAAGATGGCTTCCAGGTCTGACACATGGCATCTTAGTGATAATTAATGGATTAGTCAGACTTCAGCTCCTCCCCATGCACAATTTGCTCCCTTCCTTTCCATCATGGTTAATCAAATTTTATCTGAACTTTTCACTGCACAGTTCTTATTTATCACTTTTTTTTTTAATGTTAATATGGTATTTTAATTGCATGACTGTAAGCTGCCTATTCGCCTCGGCAAAATGGATAACATAGAAGTCTAATAATAAATAAATAGTATTTATAAAGTCCAACAAGTAGCTGTTAACTTACACCTAGTTGGAGAAACAAAGGAATATTTTAGATGTAATTTCCCATCTTCAGAACTTCTCTGCAGAACATTTAAAATTGGCATTTACTGCCAAAATTGAACTTGTAAGTAATGCTTAGACACTAGGGGCTTGGCAGAAGAATGTAGTTAAACTCTTTTATAAGATGAAGATAAAATGGGAAATCCATGGTTGATTACTGGCTGTAATTACTTAGAACAGCCTGCAGCAACTTAATTGTAATGACCACAGTCCCTCTTCTTTCTGAATTTATTACCAGTTAATATCAGCCTCCTCCATCTTAGCTGCCTACAAAAAAAGGCCTCACCAGGCATTACTCCTGCAGGAAGTTAATGTAGCCAAGCAACTGAATAAAATTTCATAGCTTTCTAGAATGGGCAGGTATGGTGAAACTGCTACCAAGAGGATAATATACACTTAATTAAATGGGGTTAAACTAATGTTTGCGGGGAGAAGCATTATGTAAAACACTTGTCTGTAGATTTATTAAGAAAACCTGCTAATTTCTGTTTTACCAAATGGAAACTACAGTCACAAAAATATGGGATGAGAACAGTCATGAAGAAGATACAAGTCAGCACCCATGGCAAACAAGCTAACCAAATTCCAGTGATAAACAAACATTTTCAATTTATGTCTTTTAAAAGTTTTCCCAAGGGAAAAGTAAGATGAGATATTTCCTAAAGGAACAATTTCTAATGGATATTGAGAAGTAATTGTGAAAGCTTTGTCCATTGTTGAACAACATGGCACTAGGTCTCCGTTTAATCATAGTTTATTAAGTCACAATAGACTGGGTTCATACAACATATGAAATCATAAACCATGATTTACAAATTACACTGGTCAAGTTTACACAATACACCAAGCTAGAGAAAATATGTCACATTAAATCTTAACACAGTATGTGAATCAGGCCATGCTCTCATGATGCTAACCTTGATGGAGTAACTTTGGCAAAGTGGGCTTACTCGTTACCCTAACCCTAACTGAGATGACAGGCACATTTAGGATCCATATATATTTACTATAGTCCTCACTCATATGAGGTCCTAATCCAGACTACTTAATCACTTGACTTCTGATGCTTTTTTATCCATGCTGTCTGGCATTAGTCTCCATAGCAAATTGAGATACAAAAGGAAGCACAAATATACTTTGATGCAAAGTATGCACCATTCTTGATAGCTGAAGGTAGAAGATAATATTACATTTATCTTAGAAATCTTGCTGCAAATATATGACTAGGTTAAAGAAATGGGCTGAAACAAGTGTTAGGCATCTTCATAGATACACAGAATCTACTATAGCTAAAGTTCTCAATGGGATGCCTGCTTAAAAATAGCTGTCATATTTTCCCTTTATATTGATTTAATATGACATTTCTTCAGATCAAACTAGAGGCAGAAGTGGTTTCAACAATGCAGTGTCATAGCCAGATGAAATCCTTTACAAGCTCCTTTTATTGTTATAATATGCCAAATTACTAAAGCTAAACCCTCAACTTGGAAATATTTGAATCCATATAACTAGAGGACTGTCAGCCGGCTTCTATGAGGTTTGCCCAACATATGCTTAAAATGTGTGGTTTGTTATTCTCCTGTTTGTTAAAGAAACACATCATCTAGTACAGGAATGAAAGGTGAAAACCAATCTTTTGAAGGATCCTCTATCGTACATGGAAGATATGGACAATTAAATTGATGTTAGAATTGATGAATGATCATAATTTTCTCCATGCTACATATTAGTGGCCCTTAATAGAACTCCCAGTTTAATGGATGGCAACTGAAATAGTAGTATATTATGTATCAAAATATCTATTTTTACAACTGTGGTTTAGTAATATTCATTTGATCAACACATGGAGACTTTCTTGAAAGATTAAAAAAAGTCTGCCTTTCTGTATAACTGCTATAACATTTTAAGACCAAATAGCAGTGATATCGAAGCAGTTGATTTTAAAATATTCTTGAGCATTGTTTTCACTGAGAAATAAATACAAGAAAAAGGTAGGGAAACTTGATTTCCAAAAAAATAAATACAACGAATGAGAACTGCTATTTTAAAAAGTGCCCATCATGAGAAGATGCTGGGACTAATGCCCCTGCCAGCCAGGAACTCCTATGCCTTGCCTGGGGTCCATGGTCGACCTTATATATTAACAGAGAACATGAAAAGACAGTTTGTTTTAATGTAGTAAAATCAGGAGAGAGAAAAACAAAAGCTTTGGTTATGAAAAGTTTTATGGATTGGCAAGAGCTAACCCCCATCAGAACAGTAGGGTAGAAATGGGAAGTGTTTGCACAGGGCAGCATTATACAGTTGAAACTCAGATCATCAATCATTGTGTCAGCTCTACCTTCTCTTTCCCTGCCATAATTTTCAGAATTAACATACATCTCAATAGTATCATCTAACTACAGAAATGAGTGCATGATGGTATGTTTGTGTACATAGTAAATTCCCTGCGTAGTCTTCAAAGGAGATCATATGGATAATTGAAGTCTCGTGTTTTGCATATAAGTTCCTAATCAGGTGAACTTTCTTGATTTCTCAATACACATTAAATCTGATATGCTGTTCTATAAACATTTTTTTTCACTGAAAAACAATGATGATCTCAACGTCGGATTGCACTGGGTTGCAATGATGAATATGAGCCGAATATGGAAAAGCAAAGACATCAGCTTGGCAACCAAATATAAGTTAGTCTGCTCTGTTGTGCTCTCCATAGCTACATTTGGTTGTAAAAGTTGTAACTTAAAAAACAAGACAGGAAGAAAATCAATTCTTTTGT